TTAAATACATCAATCCTCCAAAAAGGAAAAATGAAGCAAAAGGTCATGATTCCCAAAGGCCCCTGACCCTTGGACTCCCTTTGAAAGCTTTGGAGAAGGAAGATCTATATGCAGTCAGGCATTTGTCTTTTTAAAGTTGACAGCAACAGCTGCCTATAATCTTCTTGGTTCTGGAGAGGTATTCAATTCAGGGGCATCATTTGGATGGGGGTTTAATTTAGCTCCTTTCCCCAGCCTAATCTATCTGCATGCTTCTTGTGATTGGTTAACCCAGAGCAGAAAGAATGCTGAATGGGTGCAATGGAAAGCTGGGAACTGATATACACGTGGGAACAGGGACAAAATGTTGTAGCTTGGATTGCTCTGCTTCAGGGGGTCCATGCTATTTCCAAGATCTCTATTCCTGACCAGTTTTCTACCCCATTCCTCAAACAAACACTTATTATTTGGTGGCTACTATGCTTTCTCTCTTGTCATTGGACTATGTCAGGCATGTCCAACTTTCAAGAGACTGAGATCTACTCCCATTGTAAAAAAACTTGCAGTGATCTACCAAAATTGTTGAGCTTTTTTAAAGGAAGCTACCCATTGCTGCCATTGAAGGGACGCGGGTGGTGCCTGTGGGTAAAACCTCAGTGCCTAGGGCTTGCTGATCGCATTGTCGGCGGTTTCGAATCCCCGCGGCGGGGTGAGCTCCCGTCTTTCGGTCCCAGCTCCTGCCCACCTAGCAGTTTGAAAGCACCCCTAAGTGCAAGTAGATAAATAGGTACCGCTTTATAGCGGGAAGGTAAACGGCGTTTCCGTGTGCTGCGCTGGTGCCGGCTCGCCAGCGCAGCTTCGTCACGCTGGCCATGTGACCCGGAAGTGTCTGCGGACAGCGCTGGCCCCCGGCCTCTTAAGTGAGATGGGCGCACAACCCTAGAGTCGGACACGACTGGCCCATATGGGCAGGGGTACCTTTACCTTTACCTTACCCATTGCTGCTACCTCTTTCTTGTGCATCATGAAGCCCTTTTGGCTACTTAAGGATTTGTATTCACCCATTAACATTTTAAATAGAGATGGTTAAGATGCAATACTATTCTTAACCATTCACCCACTCCAGGTGTTTTGTTGTTGTTGTTGTTGTTGTTGTTGTTGTTGTTGTTGTTTTGCTTTTCTGGTATTTACTTGAAATTAATCTGGCTGGAACAATAATATTGAAAGAGAGCTCTGCAACTCCAATGGCGTTATCCCAAATCCTGATCCAAAAACCCAGGATTTCACTGTGGTTGTCTGAAGGAGGTCAGTCAGGTGACAAGGAGGGGAGGGGAAGTCTGGGTCATATTGATGCTGTTCTGGAGCACTGGAACAGGTCCCCAAATAGAACTAGGGGACTGTTCACAGCCCTAGTATTCAACAAACTGTCTTGTCTTTCCACTGGTACTCTGCCACTTCACTATACTCAACAGAAACATTTCTGGGTGAGAATATATTGTTACAAAAGTTGGGTGCCTCCCCCTCTCTCTGCTGAATGACAGCAAGAGTCCATGGGGTTCCAGACACTCACCCAGGGTCTGTGTTACTTTGGAGAATTGAGACATGGTGTAGACTGTTGCAGCTTTAAGAAATATGGTTTATTCACCTATTTACACCTTCAGTCTGCATGGAAGGAGTCCAGATCTTACAGCATGGTCATTTCAGTAGGGGTTTGTCTCCCACAGAGGTGCAGCCCTGAAGTCTAAGCTATCTTTCCCAGCCAGCCTTCAGCCAGCCTGTCCAAGATGGATCCCAGTCTTCTTTTTCTCCCTTCTTCTTCCCAGCACAATTATTAAAAATTCTCTTTTCCTGTCACTTCAAACCCACACCCCACCACCATGGCAAACTTTGTCTGCTCAGACCATCAACTCCATTTTCCATGTTAATGCCTATCCCAGGTAAGGCTGTGGCTTGGAAAGGAATCTTAGCCTGTACTTTTCCAGTGACCTCCAATCTTCCCTTCAATACTCCAAATAATCAAAACCCTACCTATTATTAATTTCTAGGGTTGGGAGGGAGGATCCTGCCAAATCTATAACACTATTTTATATTCTGACATGAGTATTCTTCATGAATATTTTTAAAAAATAATCCAGCACCTATCATTGTTGGTACCATAGACCTTTTATTGGTCTAGATACAGCCAAGTATCTTCTGAACAGGCTTGTCAAATATATTTCTTCTGACCTTACAATCCAAATAGTAAGGCATATTTTCTTGAATAATGCGAATCTTGGAAGAAAAGAACCCCAAGCTCCTGAAGAGTGAGGTACTGAATTAAGATGACGAGGTTGCCTGGCTCCCTGTTCAAACAGGGTTGAATCAGTGTGACTTTTTTTGTTAAACCTGCCAGCTGGAACTGGGCTTTGTAATGAGCCCATCAGCACATGCTTGACTTCCTGGCCAGAAAGACAGATGATTATGTATTCCGTCTTTCCACATGAATCTCGTCTCACATGGAGTTAGGTGGTTATGCAAGTCACCTCAGCTTGAGGATCCTAATTATATAAATTTCAATCTTGGAACTTTTAGCTTGCAGATAACATCTGCCTGAAATGCAACAAAGTCTTTCAAAGTTTGGAAGCACGATTCCCCAAAATCCACAGTCCACCTAGGGCAACTGTATCCCTCTTCCTCCATGCCAAAGAGTAGGTTTATCTCAGACTAGTTATATTGAGCTACTGTACTGGAAAATGTATTGAATAAAGACTTTGGGGGAAACTCCCAAAGCAACAGAGATATAATGGTAGAGCTATGGCAAGTGAATACCAGAGCACTTCAGAGAATACTTGTTCATTTATTATTCACAATCTGAGGATTTTTAAAAACATATTACCATAAAATGCCAGGAGAAGGGGATATGGGAGATCCTGCTTTGTGTCTTTCCTTCTGGCAAATTTTAATTTGTTGCCCAACACTATTTGCATGAAGTCTTTCAACAGAATTAGGCTATAAAAATATGATTAAAGATGGGTATTATATATCTGTATCTTTAGGTTTCATTTTATAACATTTTTCAGGTGAGACCTGTCAAATCTTACCTTGTTGACAGGTTCTCATGTTTTTGGGTTCAGCTATTTGCATGCAATTGTATTCTTTAAAAGAAACAGCAAAGTCCTCCACATACTTAAGGGTCCAATAAACAGAACTCACTTTTTTTGAAATCCACACAAAAAATTATCACTGTTTCAAATTCTTTTTTGGGGGGGAAGGGTCTAATTGCATCTTGATCTACTAAATGCAACGCCCAAATGGTTAAGGAAGTAGAAACCCTAAAAGCCCTTCTTTGGATTTCTCAGTTGCCTTTAATTCTTAGTCATGCTGGCCACATGACCCGGAAGCTGTCTGAGGACAAACGCCGGCTCCCTTGGCCTATAGAGCAAGATGAGCGCTGCAAATCCAGAGTCGTCTGCGACTGGACATAACGGTCAGGGGTACCTTTACCTTTTTATCCTTCTCATTCTTTTTTGCTTCAACTCTTTGTGTGCTTAAACAAATGTAGTGAAAAATCACACCACCTACTCCTTGGCACATTCAGGGTAGTCCCGCGGTTTGCAGAAGTCCAGTGATATTTAGGTAAACAAATAAACAATCCTAATGTTACAGTGCCCACAAAGCCCCCAGATCAATGGAAATTCAATTGCCACAGAATGGCTAAAAGCTGTTTTTGTTTTTAACAAAATAAACTGGGAAGGAGGAAGAATGGAATGGTGTGGCTGGCAAAGGAGGATGAAGAAAGAGAGTTATAAATAGGGTACAGAAAATTATGTTTTCTGGATAGGTGGTGTAGTGGTTAAGAGTGGTGGACTCGTAATATGGTGAACCAGGTTTGCTTCCCTGCTCCTCCACGTGCACCTTGGGCTAGTCACACTTTTCTGAAGTCTCTCAGCCTCACTCACCTCACAGAGTGTTTGTTGTGGGGGAGGAAGGGAAAGGAGATTATAAGCCGCTTTGAGACTCCTTAAGGGGAGTGAAAGGTGGGATATCAAGTGCAAACTCTTCTTTTTCTTCCTAGTTTATACTAAGAAGCTCCATTCAACTTCAAACTCAATATAACTTTAACAATTGGTGCCTGAGTTGCCTCTCCCGCCTGACTTCCCCATCCTCCTTTCCTTTAATGATGTGTATCTTGACTTTTAATGCAATGAGTAGGGAATGTCCTCTTATTTCTTGATTGTATGCAAGCTGCTCTGGGAGCCTGCTTGACTGAAAAGTGTGATAAAAATGTTATAAACAAACAAACAAACAAACAAATATGGAAACTATCTTTAATGTTTTCAGGGAAGGATGTGAAAGCTGTTCATAGACTCACCTGCAAAAAACCATTCTCACCCCCCCTTTTAATAATAACAGATATATTTGTTTGTTGCTTTTAAATTCTTGCACCAAGTTCTTATCCCCGTGTTAAAAGTTGATATGGTTTTATGCCACAGTCTATTAGTTTTAGATTATTTGGATTTTAGATTATTTTCATAATGCTAGTTTGTATTGACTATAACTGATTTCATTGTTTTGAACTTTGCTTTGCATTTTGTATTGTTAATAATGTTTGTAAACTCGCCAGGAGATTTATCCATTATACAGGTAATATAATGCAAAATAAATGTTTAAAAAACGTAATATCTGTTATGGTTCTGGTCTTAGTGTCACCCAAGCAAGAAGCTAAAATACAACTCTATAACCCAACAGAACTCTCAAAAAACCTTTAAAAAAACATGCAGAGTAACTACAAAAGCTAATAAAATACAGAGCAGGGAAGAAATATTACAAGGATATTTTCTTCCAAAACGATTCCTAGATATTCATCATTCACAACGCAAAGGTTATGAAAATGTAGTCCTTGCTATATGAACCACTTCTGCCCTGACAGATGGTGGTTTTCACCCACTGACAAAAAAGATTATGAGAAAAGAAGTCATTCTGTTCAACGAGACATCCCAGACAAACACCAAGCCTTGCTTGCAGAGTAATGTGTGATTTACCTTCATTGTCCTTTAGCGTAAAGTTGGGATTCAAAGGGAAACTGTTGTCCAGAGAAAAGTGAAATCTTTGACCATTTGCAAAGTCATCTCTGTCCGTGGCACCGATAGTCTGGATAACCTGGAAGGAAAATTGAATTGTGGATGTGATGAACTTTGAACTGGGTTCAAATTTTGGCAGAACTCGGCAGGATCTTGTAAGCTGAGCTTTCTTTCACAATTTTCTACCTATCTAGTGTCATAATATGACTATTTTTCCATTAGCTGCATTATTGTTATTGTTGTTGTTGTTGTTGCTGCTGCTGCTACTGTTTTATTTCTCTGCTCAAAACATTTCAGCAACAATGTAAAATGAACTAAACACATGCTCAGAATGTATGTCAGGAGTCTTAAATTCAAAGTCATTCTGAAGATTTTGTTAGTTAGACATTTGCATTAATACTAACAGAGGAGGATTAACGTGTCACTTAAGTATTTTCACATATAAGTTTATTTTCATCACCGGGTCTCATATTGGCATGCTACAGCCCAGTGATTCCATTCTCCTTGGGACTTCTACTTCTGCCCCTGGGAATTTTTGTTTGCCTTTGCTTGATTTTCTTTTGCAAGAAATTTATTTCCCAGTACAAAATGCCTACCTTGCATTGGATCCTATTGCGTAGGACAGTGTTCCCCAACCTTGGGCCTCCAGCTGTTTTTGGACTACAACTCCCATCATCCCTCGCTAGCAAGACCAGTGGTCAAGGATGATGAGAGTTGTAGTCCAAAAACAGCTGGAGGCCCAAGGTTGGGGAACACTGGTGTAGGATTAAAAAAAAAGGAAACTCAAAGAACTGCCCTTGTTGACAATTTGCAATAATGGTGTACAAATATTTGGGGGTGCATAGATGCTTCCAAACTTTCACTTATGATTAGATTCAAAGTGAGTTGGTGGGGGGGGGGTCTTCCTCAGGGAAAACACCTGAGGAATTTTGAAAGAAGTCAAAAGAATTGTGATAAGTTTACTGCTGATTCTCAGAGTGGTTTGAAATATCCCAAAGAGAGTCGACTCTGGAATGGAATGAAAGCCATACCATGTAATCCCAGTACAGTGGTACCTTGGGTTAAGAACTTAATTCGTTCCAGAGGTCCATTTTTAACCTGAAACTGTTCTTAACCTGAAGCACCACTTTAGCTAATGGAGCCTACCGCTGCCGCCGCTGCGCGATTTCTGTTCTCATCCTGAAGCAAAGTTCTTAACTCAAGGTACTATTTCTGGGTTCGCGGAGTCTGTAACCTGAAGCCTCTGTAACCCAAGGTACCACTGTATTTAGCATTCCAGAAGAGAGGAGTGAAGCATTCTCACCTACTGGGTGCATTGAAGAGAATATACATCAGATATCTCCAATCTGTGCTCAGTCTTAAGCACAATGGCATTGCACTGGCACTCAGAAGCCACCTTTCAGTTAGAGCCAGCATTGCTGACACAGTGCAATAACAGTTAACAGGGTCCCCCCCCCACTCTTGCATTTGCATTGCCAGGCAAAACTATTAAATCTGAGAGATCGTTACATCAGGGTTTATGTTATTTCCCCTGTTGTAACTCAGCAGTGAATTGCGGGATAAGAAAAGACACAGCAGATATGTGGTTTTATTTTGTCCTATGCAAATGTAAAGATAAACTGTTGAACAACATCATTCTAGCACTGGGAAATAAAACATAAGACCTGGGGGAAAAAGCCTCTGTCATCCACCCACATTGGCAAATTGCTGGAATACAATTCAAAATGGATGCATTTTATTCTGTGCATTTGCACTTGCCATCCTATGCCCTTAAAAAAATAATTGTATGTGTGTGATTTTATATCTTGATTTCATTCTGTGAACCGCCCTGACACCCCCCAGGTATAGGATGGTATATAAATTCAATAAATAATAAGTTACATGGAACCAGGCAGAGGGCCTTCTTGGTAGTGGCGCCCGCCCTGTGGAACGCCCTCCCAGCAGATGTCAAGGAAATAAACAACTATCTGACATTTAGAGGACATCTGAAGGCAGCTCTGTTTAACATCATTAATGACTGATGTTTTAATGTATTTTTAATCTTTGTTGCAAGCTGCCCAGAGTGGCTGGGGAAACCCAGCCAGGTGGGCAGGGTACAAATAATAATAATAATAATAATAATAATAATAATAATAATAATAATAATAATAAATCCTTAGAAATTCCGAAACATCAGAAACAACTTAGCCAGGAAAAATGATGTCAAACAACAAGTATGGGAATTTGAAGTGAGAGTTCCATGCCTAGTCACCCTTTAAGGAGCCCACAGCAGCAAAAAGTTTATTTACGGTTGTACAAGTTACAGAACGTTAGAGGAGATGTAGCTGACATGGACAAACTGCTGGGATGCCATTGCTGCAGTATTCAAAGGAGTCCACTTGTCATCAGCATGCCTCTGTGTGCTATTCACAAAGCCATTAAAAAAAACTCCTACACATTGTTGGACCAACTTTCATCAGGAAGTGTCTTCTTCCAGATGAGTATATCTTCTGAAAGCTTCATCCTCTGGTTATGAGGCACATGACTTTCTCTGTGGCCCATGCCCTCTGGGATTCTCTCCCAAGCGATATCTATCTGGCCTCTTCATTGCATACAGTATGTTCAGGAGATTGATTACTGTATATTTCTTATGAAAGGTTTTGGATTCTTAAGCTCTAAATCTACCTATCTATAATCTATCATCTATCTATCTATCTATCTATCTATCTATCTATCTATCTATCTGGTGGTATTCAGTCCTGGTCCTATTCAGACCCACTAAATTTAACAAGCATGACTAACATAGGCTCATTAACTGCAATAGGTGTACTCTGAATAGGACTTGGTTAAGTACAACCCTGTGTATATATAAAAACACTGTGTGTTGTCCTGTAGATCTCTAGTGCAGTCTGAAATGTATAATTCTATTTACATATTTGAATCACATGGCTACATACACATACATCTACAATCTCCTCTATTAAACACTTTTAAAAACTATATGCCTTTCAAATATGATACTAGGAGTGCGACTATCAGGTTACCTGGTTCGGCTTTGCATTCTCACAGACAACTACATCATAGTCTTCAGCAAGCTCTGGAGGGTTGTCATTGACGTCAATAATTTTTATTCCAACGGGGACATGGCTCAGGAGGCCAGGACTTTCTGTAAAATACAAAAGAATAAAGTGATCCAGCTTTCAGAAGACACTTACACCATTGCAGCTTGCCCTCAAAGCAATTTTCTGGCACTGAAAGTGGTGTTCAGAACTTGATGTAAAACAATGGCTTGTCAGATATTCAACATGCTACAGCAGAACCAGACTGATATGGCAACCTTATGAAGATGTGGTTTGCGAAGTCTCACTGGCTTTTTGCAAACGGAAATCAAAGTCAAGACTTGAAGGTTAAACTATAGGTTTATGACATCCAAGGGTATTACACGGTAGTGAAGAGAGAGAAAAACGGGAGAAATTTTCAGTCTATTGTACACTCTCATGTTGTGGGCCAGGAATTAATCAAATGGCTTCATTTGATGTTATGGTGTCATATCAAAGTTGAACAAAAATCAGGAAAAGATTAGCTGGTTTTTTTTTGTTTTTTTTTTTGTTTTTGGAAGAAATAGTAAAATGTGGAAGAGGGTAAAGATTTTTTAAAAAATGTATTATTTTAACATTTTTAGGTTTGCTACTCTGGGCACCTTTGGAAGGGAGGAATACAAATTTAATAGCTAGCTAGGATGCTGTTTTTTGACTGTTTTTTTAATTGCTAAAATTGCTTTTTAATTGCATTGTTACAGATATTTAGAAGATATCAATTGTATATATGGCTTACAATATATTTTAAGCCAGCTGGAGTTGGGTTTTATCATAAAAAGGTTGTAAGCATATGACACAACTTCTGAAAGAACTGCACCAACTGCTAGTTTGCTACCAAGCCTGATCTAAGGCTCATTTGTTGCCCTAATGATCAACTGAGCCTATACCCTGAGAGAGGGGAAATGTCATTGTTCAGGACAGACAGTTGCATAGTTTCAGTTGGGAACCATGGGGCAAATGGTGCTCTGTCATTTCCTCTTCTTGTCCTGTAGCTTTCCATATATTGCTGAACAACAGGCCACAGATGATGAGAGTTTTAGCTTAGCAGCACCTGGAGAACCGCTTGTTAGGGAAGGGATTACATAGTCTTTGCTGGGCCATACTAGAAATAATGGTGTACTGTTGGCTCAGTGCAATAATAAAGTTCCTGGAAACAAAACAATCTCAAGAGGGCCCTCATTGTGCGAGCCAACCAGGAACATGTCAGAATAGCTTCAAACAAGCAATCTCCTGCACAGCTACACAACTGAATTGGCTCTTAATTTCATAATGCCAGTGCTTACCATTAAAGCTCTTTGTCCTATTACACATAAAACAACTCATTATATATTGATCTAGCTTCAGCTCAGTAGGTGTGTAGGACAACATTGTTCTGATTTATTGCAGATGCTTTCAAAAGGATCCTGTTCTTTCATTTGTACGCTGCAAGATAAACTTCAATGGAAGTTTTGCTTTGTGGTTGCTAAAACCATAACAGAAAATAGGGCAGTCTTTTCTACCGTTGAAAGGACTTTGTTGTAAATTGTATTTATTTGATAGGGTACACCCAGAACAAAACAACTGGAGTTGATAAAAAGGTCCTAGGTCTTGTGTCTGAACCTCTTACGTTTCTTTGCACATAACTTTAATGGTGGAGCGCAGATTTGTTCTCTGCAAAGATGCTTCAAGTTCATCGATCAAAGTAGTCTGAACACAGTGTCAATGAAAGCATGTCAGCAGAAAATGGTCTCCTTGTTACATTCATCACCTCGAAATGAAACTGAAGTTGTTCAACCACTATATAATAAATGAGAGGGGACTCTCCCTGAGATGTTTAAATAAATTCAGGACTACCTGTTGTGTGCCATGTCCTTTGGAAGAAGGAGCATAGGCTACAAGTTGCATGTCATCTCCATAGTGCTACTTCTCCTCTGAAAGTCCATCCCCTGGGAGGCCTGACAAGCCCCTTCATTCTAGCTTTTAGGTGCATGGTAAAAAAAAAAAAGTGTGTTTATGTGCTTAAGCATTTGGTTAAGAGTTTTCTAATTTTATGATGACTTCATACTTGTTTACATTTTAGAACTTTGTTTTAGATATAATTTGTATTTTCCCTGTGTCTTGCACTGCTGAGTGAAAATCATACTGAGTGAAAATCATGGCAAACTCAATATGACCCTCAGTGGAATCTTAGGAAACCTCAGTGCAAGCAAGGTTTCCTTGCCCAGGTAATGGGAGTAGAAATCACCCCCACCCCAATATATTAATGAACGCCTGCTGAGACTTAATTTGATTTGGTTACACTGAATGAATATGACTAGTTAGTTTGTTTTGCAGGTCCTCAAGTTGTTATATATAATAAATATAACCTATTTATCCACATTTGGTTGTCTCGACTCTTCTTCCTGGTGTGCTGGCAATTGTGGGTGAGCAAACCACCATAGATCAATTGGTCTCTGGGTCTCTAGAAGACCACTAGGGAATGTATGGGGCCAGATTAGGCCTGTGGATTGGCAGCTCATGTTCTGCCTCTGGTGTCTGAAACAAATCAGTTAGAAAAAGTGAAAAGGAAATAGCAGCAGCATTTGAAAGCGGCTGTCCTTGAGATAATCCACCAGACAGTAAATCTGGCCACTAGGACCAACCAAATGGTTACATTAGCATTGTCACTGCATAGGCAATCATCCAGCAATCTCTGCCAAATACAAGGCAGCTTAGGTGATTAACATGCTGTAACAATTATGTGTGCGAATGAATTTAGCATTATCTGTTCGAGTTGCAATTCTGTAATGAAGTTTGAACAATGAAAGGTTGAACTCATTTGCTTTAATTATCGGATATCAGATATTAAAATCACCTGATAAGTTGTTGTTTTGGGAACAACAGAAGAATGAGCACAAACCAGAACAAAACCTGGGTTTTTTCCAGGACAAAAAAATGGGGAAATTTTCATTTGTTTTGAATGACAATGCTTCCTGGCTAATTGTTCAAAGGAAAAGCTCCACTTCCAGAAGCCTTTTAGTCAAATGTTTTCAATAAGTCTGGCAACTACCATGTTTTCTAGCCGCTGCAAGCTGCCACAAACAGCTAAAAATTATTGTTAGAAGGAAGGAAGGACCAGAGACACTGTTGAACTACCTTGTAAGTTACTCCAAAACAATTTAAATTACTGAAAGTGTGTGGATTCATTTAGGATTTTCCCTAAAAGATCCTAAAAGAATTAGAAGGGAATGGACTTTGTAATCCACTTCTGATTGACCAGATCGAGACTGTTTCATCAATCCCTAATAAACAGTAATTGTGGAATCAGGTTAGAAGTCAGGAGAGCTACAATTGCAGCATTTGAGAATCATGGAAACTGTTATTTATTGTGATGAGATCGAGCCTGGCCTACCCCTGAACTTAAGTGCTCTCCTTTCCCTTTTCTTCATCTGGTGTGACTGCAAGGAAATCAGAAGGATTTGTTTCCAATCTCAATTAATCACAGTTTATCAGGTTTGGGTGACTTGGTAAACTGAGGTTAATCAAGAGAAAAGTGAAATCTTCCAAACTGCTTGTTGCTGTGCCCAAGAGGGAGCATGTGAATCTGAGATGAGGCTAGACTCATTCATGTCATAATAAACCCTGGTTGGTTTATTGACATCTGGTCAATGTGTACACCAAGTTCCCTTGACTCCAGAGGCTTCCCCATCCACCTCCATGTGTCCAATGCAATACATGCACAGAATTACCATCATGGTTGGGGGGAAAAGAAAAGAAAGGTTTCTAATGCACCAAACTCCAGCTTTGTTCTACAGTGTACGTGACGTTCTGAGCCAGAAGAGTGATTGCTACATTCTCCACCACTACCATCCCCATAAGCAGTAATCTTATTCACATTTCTGGTTCTGCTGATGTTTTTAAGTTTTGGATTGAGATCTGTGTGTGAACAACCAAATGGCTTGTCTCTGCTTTGGAGGAACTGCTGAGAAAGGTTGCCTGCTGTTTTGCATGTTTCAGTCTTCTTTATTTTGATTAGAATTCATTGCTCCTGCTTCAAAGTGCCTTTGAAAATGTCGCTACCTTGCTGGGCTATTGTACAGACTGCATTTTCTTCAAATTGTTTTCATTTCCTCTGGCATGCAGCATAGAAGATTTTATCCACATAGCAATGAGTAGTTGCTTTTTTTCCCATTTGTGCTTTCCCTTTGACAACCAACTAACAAATACCTAATTTTTAGTACACAATTCTGGAGAGAAAAAAAACCTATTTACAAAAATCCACCCCAAAACACAATTCATGTTTTTCTTTTCCTATTGCTTACATAGTTATACCCTGGAGGATTTTGAATGTCTTATAAAATTATACAGTTGCTCTAGACCGTTTTTCTTTCATAGGACAGGTGGAGATCAAAGCTGTGTGCAGACACAGCTGCCTTTCCTGTGGTCATTTTTCTTATACTTTGGCATTTCAAACAGTCAGAGCTTAATAAAGCCTGTGGTAATCTGACATTTTCGCTCTTCGGGTATCTCTGTCTCAGATCCATTTTCTTTGCACCTGTTCTCTACAGCTCTGCTCAGCATCTTCTTCTGAAACAAACAAAAAGAATCTGAAAGAGAAGTGCTGGCTAGATCTTTGCAAACAATCCATTTATAGGATTGCTTTCAGAAATAAACCTCCATTGCTGGAGGTCCACTTTTATCATTTCCTTCTGTATAGAAATTTCAGAACTATTTTCTGTCCTTTTACCTCATAGAGCATAGGGTAAATGGATATGCTTTATAAGATTTTTTGAAAAGCTACACAGAACTATTATGGCGTGACACTATAATACAGGGGTACCTCGGGTTAAGTACTTAATTCGTTCTGGAGGTCCGTTCTTAACCTGAAACTATTCTTAACCTGAGGCACCACTTTAGCTAATGGGGCCTCCTGCTGCTGCCGCGCCGCTGGAGCACGATTTCTGTTCTCATCCTGAAGCAAAGTTCTTAACCCAAGGTACTGTTTCTGGGTTAGCGGAGTCTGTAACCTGGAGTGTATGTAACCTGAAGCATATGTAACCCGAGGTACCACTGTATAAGCCTAAATAGATGGAAATTATACTTTGGAAAT